AGTTTAACTCCCGTATTTTGTTGTTGGATCTCACAGGAAAATTTTCATAACACCTGAGGGAGAAGTGCGGGAAAGTTAAACATTTGGATTTATAGGTAACTGAGTATGCTCTCAAAATGAGCATACTTTGAACAGAAATCTGAAATGGCCATCGTAGCTCTCGTGTAGTGACTCGTAGTGAGCAATATTTTGTTTTTCAGAACTACTACTAATCGATGGTTAACTGCTCGGTTTCGAATCTTTTATTAATATACCTGTTTTCTTTCGTGTCGAAACAAGATTGCATCTAATCTACAAACTATACGCTATAACGTTACATCTTCAAACAATCCACTTTATTTAAACGATACAGTGGTTACTTTAGCAGATGGTAGTGTTGTCAAATACACTATAACTGCTACTGGTGTTGCATATGTTTCTTCTATACGTAAGCGATGCCATTATTCATCCACTGAAAAGAAAAAATGTGTTTCTTTTGTTTAGCGCCATATACCGGTTCCGATACAATAGGTGAGTATAAATAAGTATCTGTTATCTTATACTATTTTTCTTGTTTAAAGCTGCATCATCAACCTGTTCTGTTCCAACAAATTCTACATGGAATAATACGGGTAACACAATTCAATTCGGAGTTTATTCAACTGGTGTCTTTCTCGATTCTAACGATACGGCTTACATCGCCGACAGAAATGGTAATCAAATATTAATACTCTTGAAAGGTGCAAGCAGTGCTACTGTTCTTGCGAATGCTTCTAACCCATACGACATTGTTGTTGATACAAGTGGAAATGTCTATATCGCTCAAGATGGTGTGCCACAAATTCTGAAAGTATGGACCAACGGTTCTATGTCAACATTTACAAATATCAGCGGCTCAGACGACTACTATGCCTCATATGGTTTAGCTATTGATTCAAGCAATAACATTTATATATCGGATTCATTTGCTAATCGTATACTAAAACTGTCGTCCACAGGAAGTGGCAATGCAACGGTTGTAGCCGGTGGAAATGGATATGGCAATGCTAGCAATCAACTGAATTTCCCTACTTCTCTTGCTGTTGATGCTAATGGAAGCCTCTACATACTAGACGCGGGTAACAATCGAATTCAGAAGTGGTTATCGGGTGCTACAATGGGCACAACACTGTTAACAATACTAGTAGCAATCGGAGTTCTAACAGTCGATTGTAACAACTATCTTTATGTCGGTAATGGTACAACTATTCTTCGATTTCCACCCGATTCCGAGATTGGAACAACTGTAATTTCGGGTCTATATTATCCAACATCAATGAAGTTTGACTCGGAAGTAAACATGTACGTTATGGACAGCTATCTGTCGATATTCAGCGTTCTTTGAAACAACTAACTTTTAACAAAATCGTTCATTTATTTTAACTCTTGTTCAACATCTGTACTGTTTTCCTTGTATTTTGGACGATGATACTTCTTCCTTTCTTTTAATTATTTTTGAAAAACAATTGGTACAATTCTTCTAGGAAAATACGTTCAACTGCCGTTTCGATAATCCGAATATTTAGCAAATTTGATTAAATAACTCTCTGAAATCAACAATAATAATTCTTGACTGCTTCAACGAAATGAATCAGAAACAATACTTTATTTTCCATTATCATCCTACTCGAATACTTACATGATAAATCCAGGGCTGGGTAACTCCAACTCCGGAGTTGGGCGATTTTAAAGTGGAGTTGGAGTTAGGGCTGGAATTTTTGAAAACAGAGTTGTCTTATATTCATTCTTATTCTCAAGTCTGTGTAATTGTTTTTGTTACGCTTTCTTTTCTTCAAAAAAGAGTGACGTATACATAAGAAAATAATCACTGTGGTTCTTTTTTTGACAAGTGAATATACGACAGAATTCATATGACTTTCATGTGTCAGACGTTTGTGTATGTGTGACTTCGTTTATTTTTTTCGATGCTCTATTGATTCTTTTGTACATTGACTGTACACTTTATAGATTCTATTACTTTTTTCACAGCTATATAAAGGAAGCAGAAAAAAAGGAAAAAGGAAAAAAGACAATCGGAGTTGAAACGAAGTTGTGAATTTTTGAAACGGAGTTGGAGTTGAACTGCAGCGGAGTTGCTCAGCCCTGGATGAATCTATATTTTAGTCATGTTTTCCTTCAAGATAGAAAATGTTTTTATTCTCTCAGTCAATGTTAACGTTGTAATGTAAACAGCTTTTTTTCCGTTAATATTACATATTTATTAAGTGTAGATGACATGCATTATATTATTTTAAGAACATCTTAAACGTCGTAACTAATATTTAGATGTTAAATTACATACATACATATTTAAGGGCTAATAAGCTTTTCTGCTGTAATTTGATTTGAAATACCTGAATACCATGTGAAGCTCTCGTTCGATGAAAAAGCTTTCTACCAAAGAATGATGAATGGCAAATTTCGGCAAAATAAACATTAGAAGAATAACCACATACGAGAAAGATAAGTGTGTACGGTATGCATCCAACGTGTAAACGTAATGTGAATATCGGCTCATAACGAGTTCGGCTGCATAGAAAATATTTAAAGAGTATAAAAGGTACCCTAGTGGAACTTCTTGTACCCAAGATCTTGGTCAAGATCTTGGGTTAAGAAATTTCAAGATCTTGGGTGGCGTAAGCCAAGATGTTTCAAGATCTTGGATTCTTGAATCTGTCACTCAAGATCTTGGATTCTTGAATCTGTCACTCAAGATCTTGGCCAAGATCTTGTATTAAGAAATTTCAAGATCTTGAGTGAAGCCACTCAAGATGTTGCAAGAGCAAGAATGACAAATTTTCTTTACA